TATATATATTTGTATAAATTCTTTATATATAAAATGTAAGATCGTTATAAATTTTGTGTTACATTTGTATTTTGTTTATATATTTTTTATTTAAAGATTGTAGGATAAGACTATAAAAATGAACACTGATTTAGACATTTACCATAAATTGTGTAACACTCCAACATTGTATATCTCACCAAGAGAACTTTTCGAAGTTATGTTACCTAATGATGGTACAGTGTAAGTATTGAAAAATTGTTTTCATAATAAATAATTTAATCTTTTATCCATAAATTTATTCTCATCAATTCAGTATTGTTGTTGTTAAACTTGTAAAATTGTGAGTTTAGGGATGAAAAATTTATAATAAAGTAAGCTGGTACGCAATGTCATATAAATAAGTTGATATATAAAAAACATTTTTTATAAAAAATTTTATTTAATTTTTCATTAAATTCTTATTTTTTAATAATAAATGCAAAATATAAATTTGTGCGAGATGCCACGTCCACTCCTAAGTGGACGTGGGCGAGAAGAGCCCTGCGAGATCGCGTTTGTGCCGAACAGGGTGACCGCTGCGTGGCCCGCTTTGAACGGCACGAACAATGCCACGGGCCTGGCGCGATTTGCTGAGCGCCGCTGTTTGCGCGTGATTTGATTCGCGGCGGGCCGTGCGCCGCGCGAAATGGCTGCTAACGCGCCAATTTTCGAGCGCTCTCGTTGGAGACGCTCAATCTCAAACAAAATTATTTTTATATGTATTTTTAAGATGTCTTATCAGTATGGTGGAACGACGTCTTCCGACTATAACTCGAAGCCGAGGAAGACGTATAGAGTTACGAGCGCAATCGCTGACAAAGCGAGCCACGCGCGGAGGCCACGCGTTCACGAGACTCGAAGAACGATACTCCGGAAATGTAAGCAAAGAAACTGTACTTTGAATTTACGTAGCTTGCATCCGGGTTTTTTCCATTCGAAAACGAGCGACACGACCACCTATGGTCCTGTCGCTAAGCTATCCGTTCCGAAAACTAATCGAACAGGAGGTGATAAAACTACCCACCTCGAACGACCGCCAGGCAGTCCTAATCATAAAATCACACGAAGCAGTTATAATCATACAATTATATAGTGCGAATAGATTAACAATAGCAACCATGAGACAGACAAACGTAAACGGTTTAATAATAAAGAACGTCCCAGCTGATCTCGCGACGGCAGTCGCGATATCAGGCACGCGAAGCAATTCTATACCACGCCGAGTTGAAGTGCGAAAAAGACAAGATTTAAAGCCTATGTATCAGAATAAATGACTTTATTTCTACTAAAACTACATAATTATTGAAACGGCGAGACGACCCTGCTCGATCCTGAGCTCCCTAGCTCCTAGTGGCCAACGATCTCAGAACAAACCCCGTGCTTCCACCGAGGGGCACAACACATTGTTCTATTTTTATTTATTATTGCATAAAAATAAAAACACTAATTGTTATTAGAAACTACTTTTTATTTTTATAAATAAATAAATAAATAAATAAATATAATAATTATTATAAAATGTATTATAAAAATTAACGTGACTTGTAAATAATCTTATAACAAACAAAGTAAATCATTAAATACGTTAATTCCATAAAAAATAAAATGTTTTTTTTTACAATAAAAAATTGCTAACAATAAACTAAATTTTAAACATTTAGAATTTAGTGCTGTTCGCATACAGCCACTAATTTTTATTGTTCGCAAGGAGTGGTTTTCAGAATTGACGACGCGCAAGTCGAGTGACTAGATTTATTTATTTAATTGCCAATTTACAATGTTCTACGTTCGTATGTTTGGTGGCCCTGAGAAGGGCCGTTTTGTTTGAGCCCTTACAAGAGCTGGTTATCGCTGTCTCTTTTCTATCCACGTGATGGAAGGTGTGGTGCGAGTATGTTGCAGCGGTTCTCACTGCTCGTGCCGTGCGATCTTCGGCGGCTTTCGACTCCCTGTGGACGAGGCCTTAGGTTGAATGTTCGGTGTTCGTGAACTTGGCTTAAGGTCGTGCTACGGTGTCTTCTGGCTCCTCGTGGACGAGGCCTTAGGTCGCGAGCTCGGTGCCGGTGAACTCGGCTTAAGGTCGTTGGTTGTCGCTGTCGATCGTGCGGTGACTTCCGGATCTGTCTGCGTGCTGGAAACGCGCGTGGAAGGTTCCCAGTCGCTGTCAGATTGTGACGCCTGGTTGACTCCAGAAGGTGGCCCTGCCTGGACGCCGCGACGTACTCGACTCGGAGGTATCGTCTGCGTCTCCCGTGTCACCGGACGTGTTGGTGAAGCAGGGAGCGGCGATAATAGAGGCGGTGCTGTCCAGGCTTCCCTGGGTGACGTGTAGCGTCTCAAGCGTATGTCCCACGTCTTGAGGAAGAACCGTGTGGGCCGCGTTAGTCGAGGCGGCTCCAAGTCTAAAAGAAATAAATTTTGTAGCATAAATTTTTATTCATTTGGCGCAATTTTTTGATATCATTATTTTTCTAGGAAATTTTTTTTATAAATACATATAACAGTTTTTCACAACTAGCGCGTGTACTTGGCGCCTTTTTTTAAAAAGGTAAGTTTTTAGGGATTATATCATTCTTTTTTTACTATATATTATTTTAATAACATGTAAAGCAATCAAGTTTCTAATAGGCATAATCAACAGCTTGAGTTTGTATTATAAAAAGTATTTCAAAATTAATAAAATAAAATTAGAAATTGGCAATTGGAGCCAGCGCCCTATGTAGAGCGTAAATAAATTAATCAATGTGCGAGAAAGAAGTGGATGTAGGCGAGAGAAGCCCTGAGAGATCGCGTTTGCACCGGGCGCGCAAAGATACTCTCCGCGAGCGGCGGATGTATCGTAAATACCGCAAGCGACGGTATAAACGGCGCGATTCCGCGAGCGACGGAATAAGCGGCGCGTTTTAATTGCGAGAGATTAATCGCGAGCGACGAGAAATCTCGTTTATTACTATCGAAAACTTCGCGTTTCGTAAGCGAGAGTACGAACTTGAAAAAGCGAGCGACTTTTCTATCACGAGAGTTTAGACGATATAATAACACATTGTCACGGATGGAGTTCACGATCGGGTGCGCCCGGCGGTTCCTCGAGAGAGCTTATATACAACCGTTCTTTTGCTGATTCTAGAACGTTCTATGTGTTTTTCGCGCAAGATCGAGCCGGTGGTTGTTTTCGATGATTCGGAAAATTAGAACTTGTTATTCGCATTTGTTTGTAATTTCAGCTCTCTCGGGTGACCGCTGCGTGGCCCGCTTTGAACGGCACGAGCAGTGCCGCGGGCCTGGCGCGATTTGCTGAGCGCCGCTGTTTGCGCGTGATTTGATTCGCGGCGAGCCGTGCGCCGCGCGAGATGGCCGCTAACGCGCCAATTTTCGAGCGCTCCCATTGGAGACGCTCAATCTCAAACATCCCGCCCGCCTCGCCGAATCTCCGGCGACATAGCACGCCGCTGGTTAGCGCCCCGTGGGCCCCCGCTTGGCGCGGCCTTGCGACTGGCCGTCAATGAACGGCGCCGCGAGTTACGCACGATGCTCGCGTATGATCCACGGCACGTGGTCGATCGGCGACACGTGTGGTCGATACGCGAGAATTGTGCAGTGCGTGTCGGAGTGCTACGGTGCATCGGAGTGTCCGCCGAGACGAGAACGAGGCGGAGATATCGTGGCGTGAGCCATTGCTCGGTAAGTATGAGTGATTTTATTAGCGTAGGTAGCGCTAATTGTGTTTCCCAGCGCAGGAGAAACAGCGCGAGGCTCGCCTAGCCTTACGTGAGCCGCGTGACGCCGAATTCCACTCCTGGCGCGTGGACGCGGGGAGCGAGAGGCGGGAGCGCGAGCTGGAACGTCACAGCTGATCGATTATGCGAGAGGCTATAAGGAATGCCAGGTAATTCTGAGATCATAATTTGTGTAAATTGACGCACACTGAATCCTTTTTTTTGGAAAAGAAGGAGATAAATAAATTAAAATAGCGAGAGATATGTGACGATCATGAAGCCACAGTACTCGGTTACAGCTAACCATCATGAGTAGATTGAGGTGATTACATTCTATAAAAACAATTTAAATATTCCTTCTCTCTTATATTAAGGCTTCAGTTCACAAATTCCCTCGGCGTTGTAAAATACAAAGGAGATCTTTGCATGGAATATTTGCGTCGTGCCGTGTTTTGAAATTACTCTCTTGATTGTTCGCGGAGAATTTATTAACATCGAGATATGTTTTTTTTTGCAGCCCGGCGGAGGACCCGTTACATGCGATGCGCGGGCTCGTTCTCCTGCTCGTCGGAGCGACTTTCCGGTAGGAGGACGACCTTCGCGATCGGGCGCGTCAGCTCGGTGACGCGGTACGGAGGGTGACCACACGGATCCGCCCGTCGGCTCCCGGGTGCACGTTTGCGATCCGGGCGAGAGGCCATCGTGTCGGCGGCGCGTTGTCGCTCCGGATGAGGCAGAGTCGCCCGACGCGCACCTCCTCGTTGGTGGCACACCATTTGGGCTGTTGGAGCAGCGTGTAGAGGTATTCCTGCGACCACCTGTTCCAAAAGTGGTCGCGCATCCTCTGGAGCAGTTGCCAGCGCGAGAGGCGGCCGATCGGCACGTCCAGGGAGCTGGCCTCTGGGATGGCGTTGAGCACTGATCCCACGAGGAAGTGCCCCGGAGTCAATGCCGCCAAGTCGTCCGGATCGTCGGACATCGCCTGCAGCGGCCTGGAGTTGAGACATGCCTCGATTTGCGCGAGGAGAGTGCTCATCTCCTCATAGGTGAGGGTCGATTCCCCTAGCACTCTCCTGAGGTGATGCTTGAAGGACTTCACCGCCGCCTCCCAAAGTCCGCCGAAGTGGGGTGCTGGCGGTGGGTTGAAGCACCACCTTATCCTCTCGTTGGCCATCTGGTCGGCGATCTTCCGCTGCTCCGGGCTGGTGGCGGTGAAGAACGCTCGAAGTTGTGCATCGGCCCCGACGAAGTTCGTGCCGCAGTCGCTGTGCAGGCTGCGACAGAACCCCCGCCGAGCTGTGAATTGCCGCAGGGCGGCCAAGAACGCGTCCGCCGATTAGTCGGACACGACCTCCAAATGTACGGCCTTCGTGCTGAGGCACACGAAGACCGCGATGAAGGCCTTGTATACGCGATGTCCGCGCCCCTTCGTTGTGCGCAGCTGTATGGGACCGGCGTAGTCGACGCCGGTGCTTAGGAACGGCCTCGCCGGCGTGACTCGGAGACGTGGCAGATCTCCCATGATCTGCTGCTGCGAGGCCGCCCGCCATCGGATGCAGGTGACGCACCATCGGATTACCTCCTTGACGAGCTGTCGCCCTCGGGGTATCCAATACTGCTGTCGGATGGACCCGAGGGTGAGCTGCACGCCGCCGTGCAGTGTTCGCCGGTGACAGGCCTCGATGATGAGCCGCGTGAGGTGCGACGAGCCTGGCAGGATCACCGGATGTCGCTCGTCGTAGGCCAGGAGGGAATGCTTGAGCCTTCCACCCACCCTGAGGATTCCTTGAGGATCTAAAAGCGGGGTAAGTTTAATCAATTGATTGCTCTTTGATAGCGGGGCTCCCCGTGCGAGCGTTGCTGACTCCGCGTTGTATCTTTCAGCCTGCACTACCCGGATCCATGCCAGGCGAGCGTCGTCTCACTCCGATGCCGACAGGGTGCCCGTGGCTGGGGGCAGCTTCGTGGCGGGGGGCGCCCGTAGAGCCGCTGCTCGGCGCCTCCATCGCCTGCACCAGGCGGTCACCCGCAGCAGCCGGTTCAGCGAGGAGAAACGAGTCAGCTCCTCTGGCTCGGTCGCCTCCGCCGTTGGCGCGGTGGCAGCGAGCGCTCTAACGCGCTCCTCCGGCAGCTGCTCGGCGAGCTCCTCGTCGCGGAAGTCTGGCCACGATGTCCGGTCCTCCCTCAGCCAGGGTCACCCGCAGCAGCCGGTTCAGCAAGGAGAATCGAGTCAGCTCCTCTGGCTCGGTCGCCCCCGCGGTTGGCGCGGTGGCAGCGAGCGCTCGAACGCGCTCCTCCGGCAGCTGCTCGGCGAGCTCATCGTCGCGGGAGTCTGGCCACGATGTCCGGCCCTCCTTTAGCCAGGGTGGAGCTTTCCACTAGAGCGGTGGATGACCAGCTCGGTTGGTGAGATACCTCGCGATGCGCAGTCGGCGGGTATTTTCCGTCCCCGGGAGGTGGTGCCATTGGGCCCCAGGCAGTGTAGTCTGGATCTCGGCGACCCGGTTGGCGATCTTCCAGCGAGACGGGTGGCCGCGGATCCAGCCCAGAGCGACGGTAGAGTCGGACCACAGGTGGACGGGCGCGTCCTCGGTTCCGAGAACCCGCCGCACGCGCGCCGCCAGCCGCGTGAGCAGAGCGGCTGCGCAGAGCTCCAGGCGAGATAGAGTCACGGTTTTCAGCGGCGCCACCTTGGTTTTTGCTGAAACTAATGTTATGCGAATGGCTTCGTTGCAGGTCTCTGTCCGCGCGTAGATGACGGCGGCGTAGGCCCGCTCGGACGCGTCCGCGAAGCCGTGCAGCTCCACTCGCGCGCCTGCTGCGCTGAGACGAATGAGCCGCGGGACGCGGATCTCCTCCAGACTTGGCAGGTCGTCGGTGTACCTCCTTCACAGCAGTGTGTCGGCCTCGCCCAGCGGTGCATCCCAAGCCAGGCCTTGCAGCCAGGTGGACTAGAACCGTATCTTCGCCCATATCACGGTCGGTGCCAGCCAGCCCAGGGGGTCAAAGAGACGGGCCGTCAGCGAGAGGACGGACCGCTTTGTAAACGCTGGCACCGCGATGGACCTGGTGGAGAAGAAGAAGCAATCGATGCTTGGATGCCACTGGAGGCCAAGAGTCGCGTGACTCTCCTGTGGAGTCCAGGACAGTCGGTCGCGCTAAGTCCGGTGCTCCGCCGGGATGTGATCCAGCAGGCGGGGGTCGTTCGCCGACCACTTCCTCAGCTGGAACCCGCCCGCCGTGCACAGCTCCGTCAGCTGCCGCTGGAGGTCCATAGCTTCCTCGATTTAGGGTGCGCCCGTGAGGAAGTCGTCTACGTAGACGTCTCGGCGCAGAACCGCTGATCCATGGGGGGAGAGGGCCTCTTCGTCGATGACGAGTTGCCGAAGGGAGCGGATGGCCAAGAACGGGGCGCATGCCAGGCCGTAAGTGACCTTGTTGAGCTCGTATTCCTTCGGTGCTGAGTTGACGTCTTGACGCCAAAGGATTTTTTGCAGGTGGCGGTCCTCAGGGGCGACGAGTATCTGGCGGTACATCTTCTCGATGTCGCTTGCCAGCACGAATTGATGCATGCGCCATCGCAGCAGCACGTCCTCCAAGGCGGGCAAGAGATTCGGCCCCACCTTGAAGTGCCGGTTGAAGCACGCGCCGGACGCCACGGTCAACGAGCCGTTGAAGACGACCCGGATCTTGGCTGAGGAGCTTGCTTTGCGCATCACGCCGTGGTGAGGCAGGAAGCACTCGGAGGGCTTAGCGGAGCCCGGCCGAGCAGGGTACATGTGCCCCAGGGCCTCGTACTCCTGCATGAAGGCAGAGTACAGGCGTCGCAGTTGCTCGTCACGGGTGAACCTCCGCTCCATTTGCCCGAGCAGGCGGGCGGCAGCGAACTTCGTCCCCGTAAGGTCCGGAAGCGGCGGAGTGAGCGGCAGTCGGATCACGAAGCGGCCGCTTGCATCTCGCGAATGCGTCTGGGCGAAGTGTTCCTCGGCTTTCTTCTCGGCGGCGGTGAGTGGCGCTGCGGTGGCGTCCACTTCCTTCTGCTGCCAGAACTGCTGCACCAGGGAGTGGAGGCCGTCGTCTCCGCTGCAGTGGTAGGTGCGGGCGGTCCGCGCGGCGGTCGCGACGCCGACAGCGCCCGATAGGATCCATCCCAACGTAGTCTTTTGTGCCACAGGTTGCTGGCGTCCTCCGCGGCGGAGACCTGGCTGGAGGATGTCCGCGCAGACATCAGCGCCGAGGAGAAGCTCCACAGGGTCGGCGGCGAAGAAGTCCGGGTCGACCAGCTCCAGGTTGTCGAGGTGCCGCCAGGAGTGCCGGTCTGCGCGGAGGCCGCCGCTAGTCGTCGTCAGTCGGTCCAGGATGAAGGCCGAAATCCGCAAGGGCGGGCCGTCACGCAGCGGCGAGAGCGCGAGCTCAACCTGGCCCCGGGCGCCCGTTCATCGTCCGCCAATACCGACGATGGCGATGGAGGTAGGTGCGCGGGCCAGCTGCAGTATTATATGTTAATATTATTGTTGCATCTCTTCTTCATCGTCGTGTGAATGCAATGTTAAGTTGCTTTTTCGCTCAGGTATTGATTTTTTATATAAATTTTCTGTCGTGTGGAGAGTTAGATGTTCATGTGTCACTGCCATTGTGCGAGCAGTTTTATCATTAGCTCTTAAAGCGTACTTTATAACTCAAATTGAATTTAATGTCTCAATGGACATATTATTTCTTTTTCTTGTTTTTGCATCTGGCCTGCCCCCACGCACGAAGCTACACGTACACGCTATGACGTAGCGACTACGTCTGTGTTAGTAAGTCCCGCGGTAAGTGGTGGGGGCTCCCATTTCCCACGAACTGGCAGCTCTGGCAGACGCTGCGCTAGCAATTCGGCTACGAGCGTAATTTCGGAGCCCTGATCTACCAAGGCGCGCACGGCGTGCAGGACTCCGAATTTGTCGGCCACCCGAACGCGCGCGGTCGCAAGAAGCACCGCCGGTGCGGCTCTCGAGCTCCGGTTCGCTGAAAGTGACGATCTGGCGACCTCGGAGGTGTTGCCCGCGTGGTGGAGAAGCGAATGATGCCGTTCGCCGCACGACGAGCACGTCTTCTTGGACGAGCACTCGCTTGCTTGTGCCTCCCGAGGCAGTTGAAGCACAGCTGGTTGGCTTCGATGTGCTTTCTTTTCTCCGACGCCGTCTTTGCCTTGATCGCGTCACAGAACATGATGTAATGCTCTTCGTGGCACATGGTGCACCGCCCGCGCTTGCTCTCCGGCTTCCGGGCGTGAAGAACGCGCGGCGGACGCCCGGAGTTTGCGACCGGCTTCGCGAGACTCGACTCCGTTTTGCTCGGCGGCAACGACTCGAGCGTCTGTAGCCGTCGGTCTAAGAACTGTATCAGCTCCGCGTACGACGGCGGTTCCGTCGTGTCGCTGATCGCACTCTCCCATTCGCGGCGCGACCGGTAGTCTAGGAGATCTACGACGAGGTGCACAAACATGCTCTCGAGTGAGCCGACGGTACTTAGCACTCCGTGATAAAGTAGGTCCGCACTTGACTCATCCCTCATCCGCTGAATTGCCGTGAACCTCGCTATGTAGGACCGCACGAGCAGGCGCTTGTTTTCGTAATAGTCCGTTAACGATTTCCACGCGCGCTCGAAGTTCTCGTCGGTCGTCGGAAGGCTGCGGATTAAGACCTCTGCCTCTCCCTTGAGGCACGCCTTGAGGTAGTGCAGCTTCTCTACCGGGGCAGCGGAGGTGTCCTTCCCGATGAGCGAGTGAAAGAGGTCGCGGAATGACGGCCAGTCCTCGTAGAGCCCAGAGAACTGCGGGAGTTGGATCCTTGGCAGGGTAGTTCGCGCCGGTTGCGACGGCGCCGGATGCGACGGCGCCGGTCCGAAGGCTGGAGTCTCGGTCCTCTCCACGGCTCTGAGGCTTTGAAGCGTGTCCAAGAACATGCCCTTCTGCGTCAGGTACGCCTCCTCAGCTAACGTTGGCATGTCCGTTTTCACGTATGTGCTTTCCGACAGGGCTTCCCAGTGTTCGAGCAGCTTGTCGTGCTGGAACTCGTACTTCGCCCAGTTGGCCTCGAGGGCTTGGAGTCGCGCTTCCGTCAGCCCGATCTTTATGTTGGCCGTTCCCGACTTCCGCAAGTTCTCATATGCGCGGGAAATGCGTCCGTATAAGTCCGACTGCGAACGGACCGTTGGTTCCTTGTCCTTATTCATTCAATTTTATCTTTCTTTTTATTTGTTTTCAAACATTATTTTTAAAAATTTTATTTATGTTACTTTTAATATAAAACTTTAATTGTAATAAATACAAGTATTCATAAATACAATAAGTAATAAATACAACAAGTGTTCATACAAGCTTTTTCTCATTTAGAAATACACATAATTACTTATTAATATTATAATATAATTACCTATTAATTTTCTATAAATGGCTGTTCTACAAAGACAGTTCATAAAATGATTGGAATGAACCAGCCTAAAACGATGTATATATCGTTGCATTTGAGAATGTGGCGGGTCGCTTGTTAACGTTTTAAAAAAAGACTAAAATTCTTACCCAGATTGCTAAATATTTCATTTTCAACCATGATTTGAAAATGTGGCCGCACTTTATAAAATCTCTAGACGTTTTATAAACGAATTATGTAATCTGGCTACGACATATACATTCAACAAGCAATATCGAATTGCTCGAGAACGCAACAAAATGCGAGATGAAAGAAAGAGAAAGAAGGAGAGAGAAAGAGAGAAAACGGAAAGAGCGATAAACATTATACATGAACACGCGTTCGCGTGTATAATTACCAGTTTATCGTTATTGAAAACATGATCAGCCAAACTTTCCAAATATTCCTTCAATGTTTCCATTTTCCAACAATTTATTTGTCACAAATGTATTAATTGACAATTCACTCAAGTATAAGCGCTCAGTTTTGCTAATATAAACTAATTTTCTCCAATATGACATCGAATAAAAGAAATCACTTCTCTTCCTTGCACTATTTCGCGATACCCTTATAATTTATAACCAAATAATTTATCATAATCACTTTATCACTTTTCTTGTTGTTGTATTATCTGCGATACTTATTAATTTGTCCTCGATAATCGGTAATCATAATATAACCTAATCCAAAATGACATCGATTAGAAGAAATTAAATTTTATACATTTCGACTTTGCATCATATTATCTACGTTCACGATACATGTAGAAAGAAAATAAAGACACTTTCATTATATGATTCAAACTCAAGCTATCGATTAAGCCTATTAAAAATACGATCGGTTCAATCGTTATTTTAATTGAGGTTAATTGAGGTTCGATAATCTAAGGTAACTCGCAACTGGCCGACTCGCGTATAGATACCCGGAGTGCCTCACGGCTTCGCGTAAACATGGCGCGAGACACTACCGTGTCTCTTGATATATACGTTGTGATAGTTTCACTAATTTGTATTGAAAAACAAATCGATTATTTGATTATACATGCGTGTTACACAAAGTTTTCTCATTATGTATGTATATTATATATATTAAAAATATCGAATAAAAAAATATTATAAAATATTGAATTGTAATTTATCGAGGTTTTTTGCGTAAGTTCTATTAATCTAATTTTCATTGCACGATTACACGAACATTGTAATATGAATACTTCGATTGAAAATCACAATGTAGTGACAAAATCTCGATGACTTAAAAATGCAGATCATGTAAAAGAAGAACATAAAATAAAATATAGTATATACAAGCAATGTAATTCCTTTAAACTTTGAAATCTCTCGAATTATCGAGTTAATGAATAAAACAATATTTGAGGAGGTTACAATTAATTTAATTGCATTTTTAATTTGCGACCATAGTTCTGTATGTTTTACAGAAGAATAAAATCTGAGAGAAATGTATTAAATATACACTCTGTAAAGTTAAAGAATGCTACAGACTACACAAATTAATGATTTAACATTTTAACTTCTTAGTGTTAAACAAAATACATTTTTTTATTTTACATAACGAATGGTTTTATTGTAGATAGTGCATTCTCAGAGTTATGCATATGGGCATATTGAATACTCTATTCCCAAAAAGCATTGTTCATTACAGGATACAGTGTCAAACAAATAACTTTATATAGAAAAAGTAATATTATAAAATATTGAAACAAAATTATATTTGTTCGTCATCATTTTAAATATGTGTATAATTAATATAAAATTTATTAGAGCAATTATAATTTACATTATAAAATCAACACGTTCAAAACATTTTTATTGAAACATTTCTATGTACATAATTTTTAAGCAATCCGTTTTATCTTTCTTGCCCTAACAAGGAGAGGTCGCAGCTGACTCTTGTGGTGAATCTTCATTGAATATAGTTAAGCCCTGTAAGAGCTTTTCATCCAATGCGTAAGTAGTATTTTTTTATACTTGAAATTTGGAGAAATTTGGAGAAATTCTAATGTAGGTTGTAAGAAAGAACACTTAAGATAAAGAAAGACACTTAACATAAAGAAAGACACTTTATCGAACAGTGCTGTTGGCGCAGGGAGTAAGCGCAAGTACACTAATAGCGAGAACCCAGATTCAGAACCACCTACGCTGTTAACATTTTTTTCTATTAGATAGGCATAAATCTTCTTCTATATTTGCCTACATAAAATTACTGTGAAATAAATTAAATATTTTTACAGAGAAATGTTAATACTTTTATTTTTAAAGATTTTTATAGATTTTCTAAAATTTTCTTGAATGTCATATTTATTTATTTTTTTTTTATTCACTGATGTCATATTTATTTTTTTTTTTATTCACTGATATATTTATTTATGTCTTTATTTACTGATGTCATATTTATCATGTTTTTATTTTACTAGACGACTTTATTATGTTATAGTTTGTCCGATTGCGATAATTTAATTATACTTTTAACTTGCGCTGAAGATAGCACAAAAACGGGCCGAAACGTACGCTCATTGTATTTTTATTTTTATATCTATTTATAATTTTAATACTAATTAACATTAATATCTTTGCGCCCGATAACCTGCGCCTGGCTTTCATTGCTTGTCTTTTTGTTTGTCTTTTATCTTGTGGAGCTTTTATTACTTGTAATTTAATAATATTAGTTATTTATTATTATTATGTAGGACGTACCGAGGGGTTAATGAGATTTCAATAAGTCAGGGAGGAAGGCGTGAAGGAATTTGCTAGAAATGGTTGTTTATTAACAAACGATATTTGTATCACAACTGTAACACTTTAATGATTGGATCTCGCGTATCAAATACTTAATGGGCGCTCACGCCAATAGCGAAGAAGAACGCACGGAGAAATAAGTAAACGGTCTTATCTGTATGAGAGCCGGAACACGAGTCGCGACTCAACTCGCTCTTCTGAAGTGATTAGCAATTGAAGGCGCTGTTGTCGAGTTGGCATGCAACGAGACAACGGCTGCGCGCGCAATAAAGATGGCAGCAGTAAGTTATGCCGAATGGGTTATAAGCCCTATAGCGTCTTACAGCTTCACGAGTCGCGACTCAACTCGCTTTTTCGTTTCTCGAACCATTAACAACCCATGGTTGCTTCGCAACACAAACAAACATAGGTTGCCAAGTGATTAGCAAATGAAGTCGCTGTTGCCGAGTTGGCAAGCAACGAGACAACGGCTGCGCGCGCAATACAGATGGCAGCAGAAAGTTATGCTGAATGGGTTATAAACCCTATAACGTCTTACAGCTTCGGCCATACCTGACCTAGTCATTCGTCCCGAATGATCCATTTTACAATAATATATAATACATATTAAAGACTATGAAAATTTAAACAATCATAATCGAAATTTCAACTAAATCAACATAATTAAAAAAAACCTAAGCAAAATTTGGTTAAAGAATCTTCGGTACTTAATTCTAGCGCCGAATATAGTAATCAGAATAATATAAAATGTTTTTAACAAGAACGCTAAAAGAAACGCAATACATAACGGTGCTGAACAAAGTATCTTAGGAACGCATACTAAAAATATACAATCGCAATATATACAATCAGTACAAATACGTAAATTAATATAAACAAATACGTAATTACATTTCCTTTAAAGGTTTACTCCAAGGTTTAATTCGATCAGAAGACAATACAGAATTGTATGGCCTGGAAATTATATTGAAACCGGGGATTTTGAACAACGTATCTGTTATTGTTTAATATTTTAGTAATAACGTATGGGCCTTTATAGACAGGCTTTAATTTTTTATCTTCGCCCGGTTTAAGAATGGAATCCTTGATAAGGACATAATCATCTACATTATACAAAGTAGGCTTCTTATGCCTTTCATCGTAATATTCTTTGTTGTAGTTCTTAATTTTATTAGAAGACTCTGTAGCAAGTTCTCTTGCTATATCCCTATTTTCAATAACATTAAATTCGAATTTGGAAATATTATTAAGAAAATTAACTAATTCAGTATCCGGGTGCCTTTTCCTTTCCACACCAAACAATAATTTCGATGGGGTAGCTTTTACCGAGGAATGGTATGTGTTATTGATTACATATTGCACAGTGTCCAAGTGTGCGTCCCAAAATTGATCATCCTCGATTATTTTTCTCAAAGAAGATTTTAGAAATATATTTACCCTTTCAATCAAGCCATTAGCCCAAGGTGCTGCTACAGCTACCTGTCGATGAACAACATTATAATGTTTTAAAAAGCTAGCGAATTCTTGTGAGGTGAACGCTGTTCCTCTGTCAGAAACAAGAACATAAGGATTCCCAAAATTTTTAAAAATGACAGATAAATTTTTGATTACTTCACGAGAACTAGTTGACTTTGTAGGAAAAAGCCAAGTATATCTACTAAAAGCATCAATAACCAGCAAAACATGTTTAAAACCGTCACGAGATTCTTTAATAGGACCAAAATGATCTGTATGAAAGACCTCAAATGGTTTAGAGGGGGAATCTGAAATTTGAAGTTCACCTTCACGCGAATTTACAGCAGTATTACTTAGCAAACACATTATACAGTTATCTATATAATTATTGATTTTCTTCTTAAGAGAAGGAAACCAATAATCCGCAGATATTCCCTTATAAGTTTTTTCGGGACCGCAATGCGCCATATCATCGTGATATAAACGTAAAACGTTATTAATCATAACATCCGGAATAACAAATCGAGATTTATAATTGCCTTTCTTAAAGACAAGA